CATTCTGTGACTATTGGCAGGCTTTAGTTCTTCACCTGGCTCTCAACATGGTCTTCCCTGGAGTCAGTGATGAGAGAGAGAGAGGGAGAGGGAGAGGAGAAAAAGGAGAGAGAGAGAGAGGTGACTATGCAAGGGTGTGAGTTGAGGGTGAAGATCATTGGATCCATCTCGGAGATGGCTAAAACAGATTAACTGCACACTTTCTTAGTATGAATGTGGCATGTTCCTATACCAACTTGAATTCTAGGCGTGCTCTCAGTGAAGATATGTACTTTTCTTCATGACAAGTTCCCACATTGTTAAATTAATTCCAAGTATTTCATATTTCTAGTTCCTATTGTGAAAAGGACTTTTTTCCTCACAATGTGTTTTTCTAAGTAGTTGTTACACTCATACAGGGGCACTTTTTTTTTTTTTTTTTTTTTTGAGTCAGAGTCTTACTCTGTTGCCTAGGCTGGAGTGCAGTGGCACACTCCCGACCACTCCAGCATCAACTCGCTGGGCTCAGGCGATCCTTCCACCTCAGCCTTCCAAGTAGCCAGAACTACAGGCACACACTGCCATGCCTGGCTAATTTTTTGATATATTGTAGAAACGAGGTCTCACCAAGTTGCCCAAGTTGGTCTCGAACCCCTGGGCTCAGACAGTCCTCTCACCTTGGCCTCCCAAAGTGCTGGAATTACAGGTTTGAGCCACCGCACCTGGCCCACTTGATTTTTATGCCCATGTTTTTTCAGTGGAGACAAGACAGAAACTAAGCTGTCACCTGCTTATGTGGTGGCTGTGACAGGCTCAGAGATAATGGGGTTCTTTGGCTGCCACTGACCCTGCCTGTGATCAGAGGCGTGTGATCAGGGAATGAAGAGGAAGCCAGAACAGGTGGCCTATGGCAGAGCCATCAGTCCACCTTGTGCCCCAAATTTAGCCTGTCTGACCATGACTCCCAGGTCCAAGGCTCCATCAACCCCTTTCCAGAGCCCTGTTCTGGATACTTTCTGAGCGATCACACAGGTTCTGGTCAATTTTACCTTGAAAGTTTCTTCATTTTTTCCAGTAGATACTTATCAAGCACTGCTGTGTGCCAGGCAGTGTTTTAGGCACTGTGGACATCAGTGAACCAACCAGATGAAAGCCCTTGCCCTTGGGGAGCTTATTATTTAGTAGGGAGAGACAAAACATATATGACATTTTACAAAGTGCTGAGGAAAATAAATAGAGCAGGGGAAGGGTAGAATCAGAAGTCTAGAGGAGTGAAAGTTTGAGCAAAGACTTATAAAAGGTGATGGAACCAAGTGGGTTCTAGGCAGAAGCCATAGCTAGTGGAGGGTGCCTGACTGGAGGGTTTGTCCGACAGCAGGCCAGTGGGCCCAGCAGGCCAGTGGTCTGGAGCCAGCCATGCAGGGGAGGGAGGTGGGAGATGCCATGTGAGAGCGTGGGGTGGACTGGGAGAGCTCATGAAGGGCCTTACAGGCTCTTATAGGGACTTGGGCTCCGAGTACAATGGGTTTTGAGCAGAGGATTGACATGATATGATTAGGTCTTAAAGGGATTTTAGGGGGAAGCAGAGTACCTGATAGGAATCTCTGGGACTCCAAGTTTTGACCTCCCTTGCCCTCACTGGCAAAACTGGTACAATCTATATCACCTTCTCCTGGACTTTGGCCAGGAGCTGACTGGCCGGTGTCCCTGCCTCCTGCTCTCAGTCCCCTCTCCACATCAATGCCAGCGCTGCCTCTAAGAGAAGCTGTAAAACCCTTCTGCAGCTTAGGAACCCTAGGGGACATGGATGTTTTCTCTATCTGACTTCCTAGCTTTCCTGGCATAGGGAAGTCTGGCATTGCTGCAGGTCTCTCTCTGGGGGTGGGTCCCTGCCCATAGGCACAGACCTGTAGAGGCCTGTTCTTTTAGACCACATTTTAAGACTTTTCAAGTGCATTGTATTTTGGTCATATGAATTAGATAAGTACATCTTGTGTAAAACAACAAGGAATTATCTAAAGTGGTCTTTCTTCCCATTCCAAGAAGAAACCAAGAAACAGTGCTAAACAATCAAATGTATGATCTTCCGTATTTTTCCCCTTTGCCTCTGCAGAAGTAATCAGACATATACAAATTTTTATTATTTATTTATGTATTTAGAGACGAGGTCTTGTTATGTTGCACAGCCTGGTTTTGAACTCCTGACCACAAGTGATCCTCCTGCCTTGGCTTCCCAAAGTGCTGGGATTATTCTGTACACGGTATTCTGCATGTTGCCTTTTCATTTTTATCAGTCGTGGCCATTTCCCTTCGCCAAACAGACAGTCGAGCTCATTCCCTGTCACCCGAGTGGCGCTCCATACTGGGCGACCCCCACTCCCACCAAGGGACAGGGTGGTGGTTTCTAGTCACTTGCACAACAGCACTGCTTGCGTGTACCTCCGGCCCCGGAAGGCACTGCGTTAGCGTGCAAAAGTCAACACATCGCACCGGCCGCTGACAAATGCAGGCAAAATAAACCCAGTTGAAAGGCGGCAGAAAACCTTGTGAGTACCCCAGGGCTCCCTCGCCAGGTTTCCAGCCGGAGACTCTGCTCTTCTGCGCGGCCTCCGCCCCTGAGGTCCCAGCCATTAGCATTCCTCTCGGTCCTCGCCGCGCAAAGCCCGCAGCTGGGCAGGGGGTCCTTCTGCATCCGGACCCGGGGTGCGTAGCCGGGGTTGCCGCCCTCCCTCCGCCGGTCCCGGGTCTCCCCCATCCAGTCTGCAGCTCCTCGCGGAGGCCACCGGCGCCGGATCCTGTCGCCAGGGGGCGCCCCAGACCGGGTCCAGCGGCCGCCCCCACCCCAGGGGAGGGCGGAGCCGCGAGTGGGCAGACGCCAGGCGGCAGGTGGCGCCAAGAGTGGCGGAGCAGCCCTCACCCGAGCCCGCCGGGGCCGCGTCTTTCCGGAAACCCGACCCAGCCTGCGCCCGGGCTGCCATCCACGGCTCGGTCACGGTCACGTCCCCGCGATTCGGTGTCACTTGGCCTCCTGCCCCACTGACCTGGGATTGCCAGGGGGCCCCCCTCCCCCGGCCTCTGTCGCACAAGGCAGGCGCTAGCGGGGGTCATTCTCGTCCAGCCACCGCCCACCCTCCCCCTCCAGGGTCCCCACAGGGATGACACCGTCACTACTCACGCTCCCCTCCAGCCTGGCCCATATAGCGTTCTGTCCTCTTTCCTTCTTGTAGGTGTTGGGCCCTTCCTCCCCTTGTCTCTTCTCGGCACGCGGGGTTCCCACTCCAACTGCGGTTAGGGCAAGAAAGATAATAGCTGGACCAGCGGCAGAAGATGGCTGGGGAAGACTGCTCTTTCCAGAAACGGGGGAGTCAGGACTCTGGGTGCGGGAGTCAGTGAAAGGCCTGAGGTGGGAGAAGAGAGATGAAGGAGGGGTGGGAGTCCAGAGCCACAACTTTGCAGGGGGAGCCTCGAGTCCTAGAACGTCTGGGTCACACTGACACCAGCCAGCTGGACCTGGGGGCGGGGAGCCTGACTCTACACTCCTTTTTGACTCCCTGCTTAAAGCTCATCTGAACCTGCTTAGTCCTTCCTGTTGTGCGTTAACCTTGCCGGGTGGGGGTGGGGTCTGGGGGGTGGGAGTGCTTCACTCTTCCATTACTCTTGAGTGCCTCACCCACCTTCTGCCCTCATGGGGATGGAAGGACCCATGAGGTCACCCATCCAACCAAGACCATTTGTTTTCTTCTGGTTCAGGTTACGTTTTCAAACCATCAACAGATTCCTACTTGCCAGTGGAGGTCAAATTTGAAAACTGGGGAGTCCCAACGTGGCAACTTACGGATTGGGTAGCCGTGGGCAAGTCACTTACCTTCTCTGAATCCCAATCCTCGTCTGAATAAAAGGATAGCACATGTGTAAGGTGAGCTTTCACCCTAAAGATCTCAGCAACAGCAGCTGCTACCCATCCTCACCCTCCAAAGAGAGGGTGGGTTTGCTCCTGGCAGAAGGCAACATCCTGCCCTGTCCAGGGTGCTTCTGATCAGGGCACAGAGAAAAGCCCATTTCATCTTCTTTCCTTTTGGTCAACTCCAGACACCTGCAATAAACAACAGCAAGATTAACAACAGCCATTAAAATTGGCCCTGGGGGGTTTATCTGTTGGCACTTGCATAGCTGAGGGATCTCTTTATTGGCAAAGGGGAAAGGATATCTGCTACTTTCATGTCCTTGAATTCTGTGATAAAATCCCCTTCAGTTGTCCCTTCTGATTCCAATTTGTTTTCTTTCTTGGCTACAATACAGACAGGAGGAAAGGTCTTTCCCCTCCCAAGGCAGAGTTTTAAAAGCATCACCATAATATGCCAAATGCTCTGGAAAAGAAGATTGGCAGTGAAGGAGCAGACAGAGTAAGGGGCTGAGGGTCCTAGCAGCTCCTGGCTAGCTCTTCTGTCCTCTGCTTGAAATTGGTTCAAAAGACATGGAATTCGTAGGCAAATCTGCCTCTTCCTCCTCCTCCTCTTATCTGCAGAGGAGAGATCAGTTCCCAGCTGGCCGGGGCAGTGTCATTGATACAGCTGGTGTCATTGTTACCTTCCACTAACAGATCACTCGACACCTACTGGCTTAGGCAGGGCTGGGCCCAGGCATTGCATGACTGAGCTGGAGGTGTGGGCCCTCCCCGTTGTCCCAGAACCCTAGGTGAGGCTGAGACGCAGGCGCTGCTGGGATGTGGTGATTGGTGACCCAACGGAAGGACTAGATTGCTCCTTGTGGCCGTTCCCCCTTGTAGGGTCCCCTCTGCCTCTTTGGTTCCTGCTGCTTGGCCTCTTTTGCTGTTCTGGGCAGAGGAGATGAGTTCGTCACTGCTGGGAGCTGAGGCAGACTGATGATGCTGCACCGATGATGCTGCCACCGAGAGTGGCCCCGGAGTGAGGAGCCCAGGGTGAAGAGCAGCCTAGGGTGTCCTGTCTGGCCTTGTGTGCCGGGTTGGCTGCTCTTCCAGCCTGTGCATACCAGGTGGCATCATGCTGCAGCAGATCCTGCATGACATGTACATCGACCCTGAGCTCCTCGCCGAGCTCAGTGATGTGCAGAAGCACATCCTCTTCTACAAGATGCGAGAGGAGCAGCTGAGGCGCTGGAGGGAGCAGGAGGCTTGGGAGACCCTGGCCCAGGCCGAGGGCCTCAGGCCCCCGAAGGCCAAGAGAGGTATGTGACTGCGAGTCACCGAGGGACTGGCTACCAGTTCTCCAGGAGGTGGAAAAGCTAGCGAGGCCAGACTGGGCTCTGTGTCAAGATGGGCACTGGTATGATGAGGCTGGGGGGCTTGAAACCTTTGTCCTGTGGGCATCTGGTTCCATGAGCCCGGGTTCTTGTCTTTTGATCAGGACTTTAGGGCTTCAGGGCTGCAGCAGGGGCTCTCCAAGGGTCCTGCTGGGGTGGGAGAGTGGGGACTTGCTTTGTCTTATTGTGAAAGGCTAAAGTTCTGTGAAGATGCCATTTGGACCTTAGAGTGAGCTCAGTTTAGCTGGTAATGGCATGGTAAGTGAGGGCATACTTGTGACCCTTACCGCTGGTTCTGGGCCAGGGTGCAGTGGAGACATGCAGTTCCTCTCTGCCTTGAGTGCATGGCACAGCAGCTCTCAACTAGGGCCTCTGCTGCTATTGTGTTTCTGCCTCCAGATCCTTGTGTAAGAGGGTGCTTTGGGCTGTGCCTGGAGCCCCACTGGGCATCTGGAGAGAGAGTGTCAGGGAACATCTTGCATAATGAGCGATGAGCCTCAAGTAGCAGTAGCAACTGCAGAGAAGAAGCAAGGGCCTTATCTATGTTTCAGGTGGTTTGTGTGAAAGCCATGTGCCAGCCAAGCATGTGGATGGGTATAGTGGATAAAGGAGGTGGTTCAGGACTCCGGGGCCAGAAGCAGGCAGGCTGCTGGGGCTTATCTTGGTGCAGGACCCAAGATCCTGCTGGGGCTGGGAGTTTATGTGGACGCTGCACTCACTTTATACTTTGCAAAGCTCACTGGCCTTCTCTCTCGTTTGCCTCCACAACAACTCCCCTCTTTGAAACTTTCAGTCCAGGACAAAGTCCTGTTTCAGGGTTGGGCATGCAGGACCCTTGGGGATCTGGCTCTTCTCCATGCCAGGCTCACTGCTGGCCCATCCCCATCATATGCCACAGGCCACACTCACATTCTTGCCTTTGCCTCTGGTCTTCGCATGTGTAGTTCTTACTACTGGGAATGTGTTCTGTCTTCATCCACCTGACAAACTCTTTCAGGACTGGCCCCATGCCTTGGAGTCTTTGGGGCTGCTCCTGGCATAGGGGAATACTTGCTCTCTACAGCCGCCTGGCACGTAGGATCCAGCCCTGCCCTAGCACCTGCCACCCTGTCATTGTAATTCCTCACCTGCATGCCTTGCTCTCCCAGTGGATTCAAAGCTGCTGGAGCATGAGGCATGCTCCATTCTGCCTTCCTCCCTTGGGCCTCACGCAGGGCTGGCACATGGTGTTCAATCCCTATTTGGAACAAGACACAGCAGGACCCAAGGGGGAAGTTGTGGTAGAGCTGTGCCTTGGCTGCAGGTGACTGGTGTCAAGGCTGGGGCCCTCTGGTCCAGGCTGCGCTGACAGCTGCACCACGCACTGGTAAAATGACAAGCTGTATCGCCAGCCCAACCCGGCCTGACCCCTGGGGCCTCATGTCATCTGTAGGGTGACTCTTCTGGGAGGAAGACAGATGCCTAAAAATTTAACTGCAAAAATATTTATACAGAGATTTGTCACACGTTGACATCTACATTTCTATGTATAAATTACACATTAAACTCATTTGAGTTTCTGGAGCAGAAGACTCTTTTCTGGTAATTAATTTTCTGATTTGTACAGACTGGAAAAGAAGGGAAACACACTGGGGAATGAGCATATCCAGGTCAGGATCCCATCTGGATTCCCAGCTCTTTGCTTCAGTCTGCCTCTTGGGACTGTCTGGGCTTGCCACCCAGAGGCCAGAGGGTGAGGGCCCTAACCAGGAGCCTGAAGAACCTTTTTGCTGGAGTCCAGGATGCATAGTGCCTGCTTCATGTCCTGGGGTCATGATGAAGGGTCAAAACAGCCTCATACCTTGTCCACAAGCTTTACGTTGACCTGTAAATGCCAGTCCTGTCCTTACTGTTTCCATATTCCTATGGAGTGGCAGGACAAGCCCCGTGACCCCATTTCAGATAAGGAAGGTGAGGTTCACAGAATTGATGCAATATATCCAAGATCACTCAACTATTACACCTGTGACCTGGGGTCTGGTGACTGACCTTTTCTATTCATTTACTTCCAAACTCAAGACTCCATTTAAACAAATGATCTGTGCATATGTTCATTTGTTCAACCATTCACTTATCCACCATTACGAAATGCTGACTGGATGGTGCTTAGGTCCTGGAAATTGTGAGTAGATGGATCATAGGGAACCCAGTCGAACAGAACACCAGGGCTGAGGCTTGATGCTATGTGGCGTCTCAGGGCAACAGTGTGCAGGGACAGATTCCATTGACTGGATCTTTTCCTTTCCTTCACAGGCTGTTTCCTTGGTTCCTCCCCCACAGTTTGTCCTGAAGGAAGCATCTCCTTTGCCCCTGTTGAGCTGTGTGCTGGCCCCTTGGGATCCCTGAGCTCATTCCTAGTCAGCCTGAAATTACATTGTGCCTCCTCCTGGCCATTGTCCCCAGTCCTGCTTGTCCTCCCTTTCCCTTCTCTTCTTTTCTGGGTACATTTCCCAGCTCCTCGCAGACCTGACCTCAGCAATCCTAGGACTCAGGTAACACTCCCCATGGTACTGCGGGCAGGCAGGACAAGGTGTGCCCTGTCCCCTTGCAGTCCTCAAATTGTGTCTGGTGAGAGTGGGCATAACACTGGTGATGTTGGTCATTCTTAATTAATAGAACCTCAGGGGATTTACTGATCCTGAGATACACATTTGGAACCCACAGAAATAAGCTGGGGTGACAGTTTGGAGGTATATTGTGAAAGGAAAGAAGGAGGGGAGATGAGGTCACAGCTGGCACACATCATTCCCTTGAGCATGTGGCATTTCTTTTTGGTTTTCACATTACACATTGCTGAGAACCTTCTAGTGTTCTACAGTTCTCTGGAAGATGTAGACCCCCCAGTTTGGTAGTTTTCTCATGTGCCATCACATTTATGGTTTTATCGCATTTCTGACAAAATTTGTTGTCCAATGGGAATTTGGGTTATTATATTGACTTGGAGAAGGCATGTGATCACGTTATGTTCCTGAAAAATTTAAACCAGGTCAAGCCCCTCCATCATTATTACCATGACTCATGCCGTCTCGTCCCCCTCTTTGTTCCCCTTGGCCACCACAAGGATGCACACCCTGTGTTAAGAATGACAAACTTTACAACCTCGTGAGACTCTTCTGTGCTTGTTCGCTTATCCCAGTTTCTCATGACTGGAGCTGGTGTGGTCTGAGGATACGACTCGGGACATGTGTCCACACTGCTGATCAGGAAGCTTCCTTGTTGAGACCTGTTGGTTCTGCTCTGATTGACAGTTTCTGCCAGTCAAGTTGGTTCCTCCACGATCACCTCCTCATTGGCCTGGAGGCCTCTGCCTGGGAGCCAGACATCATTCCTGTTCTCCTGTTTGTGAACCAAGTCTGCATACTTAGGGGATGCTTCTTTTTCTTTAGGTGTTCCACGCAGTCAGCCCTGTGTCAGAAGCCCCGCACCCCTCTGCCAGCTCACTGGCCTGCCCTCATTCCAGCCTGTGGTGTGCTCTAAGCCCTGTGGGGCTCCAACCTGCACTGCCCCTGTCCTCCACAGCTGGACTCATGATGAGCTTCCACCACTCAGGCCTACTGTCTGCCGGCTGTGCCTGGAGTCCGAGAGAGTCACCATCTTCAGTATTCTCCCTGGGTCTCAGCATTAAGTACCCCCCAGTGTCCTATGGGAAGCTGCATAATGGAATCCTTCTCACTGGACATCTGCCTTCTCTCTGTTTCCTGGGGAACTATCCAGTTACCCTGGCAACCTTGCTAGATCTGAGCCCTCCTGGCCTCAGTATGTCCCCTTTCCAGACATGGGAGTCCCGACTTTGAACGCCAACCCTGCAAGGAACACTGCACCTGCCTGCAGATATTCCTAGTGCTATACAGTGACCCTGGCCTCACGCTCAATCTTACAACTCCTTTTCCATACAGCAGCCAAAGACCTTTTGACACATCAATCAGTTCATGCATCCCCCTGCCTTGGTGGCCTCCATTGCGTTCACAATAAGATATGAATGGTTTTTGCTGGTACCTGCCTACTTCTCCAACCTAATTTCCTCCATGTGTCCCTCTGCGTGGAATGCTCTTTCCCCGAATCCTCATAAGGCTGCTTCCTTGATCATGAGTCTCTCGGTTAAATGTTGAGTTCATCACTGACCACCCACTCTCAGTGAACTCCGTCCCAATCTCCTTCTTACAACATCCTACCACTTTTCTTCCTAGCACTTGCCTCATCTGAAAATTTTGGTTTTAAAAAATTGTGGTGAAACACACACAATATGACATTTACCATTTTAGCCATTTTAGAGTGTGCAATTCACTGACAATTAGCACATTCACAGTATTGTCCAACTATCACCACTGTCTAGTTCCAGCACATTTTTAGCACCCTGAAAGGAAACCCCATGTCCATTAACAGTCCCTCCTTATGCCCTACTCCCCTCAGCCCCTGGAAGCCCCTGATCTGCTTTCTGTCTTTGCAGATTTGTATCTCCTCCTCCTTTTCCTTCTCATATCCCTACTCTTCTTACTCTTTTTTCTTTTTCATGTCCTCCTCCTCTCTTTTTTCTTCTTCTTCCTCTCCTCCTTCTCCTTCTTCATATATCTGCTTATTTATGGTCTGTCCCCTTCATCAGCCTTAAAGTGTCATGAGACCACTAACATTGCTTGCACTGTTGAAGCTTCTATCCCAGAATCGAGACCAAGACCTAGGGTAGGATTGGGTGTATGTGGCTGAGTAGTGGCTCACACCCCTGCATGTGTTGTGTCAGAGGGGCTTGACTGGAGGGACAGATGTTAAAGGATTTCTTTTTTGAGTAAAAGTCTGTGGGTTGTGCAATACAATCATTCCCCTAGACCTTGACCATCTTCAGTAAAAGTATAAAAAAATCACAATATACTTGTGCTTTGGGATTTGTTGGGGATGCTGGTATACAATAATGTACACAAGAGTAGTGACAACTCTGTCGTCTTTTCATTATACTTATAAGTCATTCCATTTTCACTTCTAGGATTTTGCCTCAGATTTTAGCTTGACTGCTTTTTTCTTTGCATTTACTTAGTGTACATTTGCCTGCATTCCCCCCAGCCTTTTGATGCCATTTTGTTTTAGAAAACTCTATTGAAGAATGTATATTAAATAGCATATGGCATCTTAAAACTTATTTTAGTAAATGTATTCAAGACCATTATCTTTATCAGGAATGAAACATTATTTACTGTAGATTAGAAACATAAGCATGTT